GTTTAAATTTATTATGAACATTTGTTTAACCTCAAAAGTACAGTTTTTTAAATTAAATGTTACTGAAACAGCAAGTTTCTCAGTGGATCTGCGCTCAAAAATGCAGCCTAGGTGGAGTAGTCGAACACAGATCCATTGATCCTTTAACACAGAGCATCTTCAGAAGACAAGTTGATAAAGTAAATTTTAAAAATCTGCATTGTTCAATACAAGTGTGTATTGAACCTAAAGCACTGTTCGATACGGTTCAATACGGGTACATGTATTCTTGCACCCCTAAGTATGTATGTATATATGTGTAGATGCAACTATGTATGTTTCTGCCATACATATATACTGTAAATACTGTATATGCATGGCAGGAACATATGCAAAATAGTTGCTTAGAGATTAGCATATAAAAGGCAAACTCATTACCATGACAGGCAGGGTAAATGTTTGTTTTTAATTCTACATCACATCCCAAAAGTGCTTTGTCATTGACTCGCACGGGGTGCAAGCTTGTAAAATATTATGGTTATCAAAAAGAGATCTTGTCATGAAATGTTGAGTGTGGGCATGTGTGTTTCTCAAAGCTCATATGACTTATGCACCTTCAATTTTTCTACTTGAAAATGGTTTGCAGACGTATAATTGATGGGCGAATACTGACTTTCAGATGGACAAACTGAGCTTGGTGGTATGGTTTTCTCCTTGGTTTGTTCATGATGATAGGGTCAGGCGGCGGTGCTCATTCAACCTCCTAAAGCCCGAGCACCGACTTTTAAAGACTCACAATCTATTTTAGGCTTTTTTATGTGCTTCAGTCAAGTTACATAAGGCTTTCTTCACCATCTCTGACTTACTGAAGACAATCTTTATTTTTTTTTCTGTCTGTATTTAGTTCTGTGGCACATAAATCATTAGAATAGTTACTCTTCTTGTATTATTGGAGTGTAGTTAGCTTAGTAATTTCTTTCTTTATTAGTTGCCTCGTTGCTGCTTTTATTGACTCACAAAAACAGCTCAGTTAAAGTTCAGCAGTGGCATTATGCAGTCATCTGTTTTCCTTAATATATTAGTTTTGGTCATTACAGTAGAGGCATCAGCTGGCGGAGAGTGATTACTAATTGTTTGGTTTATAAACAGCCATTTACTTCCAACAAAAGTGATGGTAATAGTGTCAAGAATAGGAAGCTGCTATTTTGATTTTTGCAAAATGAAGTTTGAGGGCATAGTTTTTGTGTGCCTCTTTCTCTAAAATCTGCCGTGACGTTGAATTTTGCTTTTCTCTTTTTGTATGATCAGAATAGTAACAAAGAGGTTTTCAGCTGCTCTAGCATTGATTGAACATTGAATGAAYACTATAAGCAGTAACTACAAAACAGATGCAGAGGCAATTGTTCAGATAAATGTTAGGGTTTGAGTTTGTCATCCTTTCAAACTTTTCCATGCACTGAAGCATTAACTACAGTAAATAGCTTTTGCTTACAAAAGCATTGAATCTTTTTGCTGTTAAAATTGCGTTTTACTTTAAGTAAATGTACTTTAAAGTTGGATTTCTGTTTGTTTTTGACTGACAATAATACTTTTCACTCACTGAAAACATAGATGGTCTCATTGACATCATGTAGGCTACTCACAGGAGAGTGTGTGTGACCATTTGTTGTACAAATTACCACAATGTTAGTGCATCCCATTTGGCCAAAGGCAGCTTGGTAAAGTGCTGCATGTCTTTTTATTGCTCCTATTTTTAGAGGCAAATGTTTTTTAAAACTTTTAAATGACAGTAAGCCACTTATTTCAGAGTCCAACTTTAAGCTCATTGTTACAGTAGTTTCTTGCTACAACAGACCTTATGCAAGACATCTTAGAGATACTGAGTCCTATTTCCCATTTTTTTCTGAGGCTGTTAGTGGAAAAAGCAAACCCTTTTATTGTGACGCACAAGAATGTTCTTTGGATTAGACTTTAGCATTCTCTTCTGTTGTCAGACACAATATTTTGGTATTTATAAAGTGAAGAAAGTTTTTCCCTTGTACCAAACTCTTCATAGTCAATAGGAAAATGAAACCGGGCACTTCTTCAGCTCTTTCATTTAATTCTAAGTGTTTTAGCTGTTGGGCCATCATTTAAAACGGTCATGATCTTTTACTTTTTCCATTTGTAGGTGAGAAGCAATTTATTTGTAATACTTTTTTTTGCATGTTGGCATGATATGCTTTAATAAACCTTCTGAGTGCATGATTAGGATTAGGATAATGGCACAACATGCAGTTGTCAGAACCTGTTAACCTCCATTACAACAATGACAAAACAAAGATGTGCTGAAGACCACCAGAACCACCGACTATCAAAAACTTCACTTACATTTATTTGAGTTTTAGAGGTAAAACGTTTATGGCTGCTGTGTGAAAAAACAAGCAAACCAACCAACCAAAGAAACTGGAGAATGATTATTTAAATTATTTTACAATTCACATAAAAAAAGAAAATTTGAATAATAAAACGAAATATTATTAACTGATTGATTCTTTTACACACAGATATCGAAGAACAACATTTTTTGCTCAATATTCTTCAGATTTTTTCCCTCAGTTTTACTTCTTTTTTTTTCTATCTGCCACACATACCCAGCCCCCTCCGCCACACTCATTGAAATCAGTGCTTTGTTGGAATGAGAGGGATAGGTGATGGTGGTAGTGTGGATCCAGCAAAGTGAGATAGAATTTAAATTGGATGTTAAATAAGCATTACTCCGCCTGATTGTCTGGCCAGCCCTAGAAAGTGAGCAAGCGCTGAGGCAGATCTCGCTCCTCCCTCTCCTGGAGATCTGTGAAATTGGGGTGAGATTGAATTAAAGCGTGAACAATTAGAGATGTGCTGGTGGTGCCGCTTACCTTCAATGATTTCATCCGCACTTTGAGGGGCTATCGTGGCCATAAATCATGATATTAAATATACAGCAAATACAGATTCCACAGAGTGCATGTGAGGGAGACTAGTCATGCATAGGAGAAAAATGTTATTAATCTATAATTCATATATATAACTTTAAGTAAAAGTCTTAAAACATCAACAAATGAAATCTTAGAACCCATAGTTAGGCTCTACAACAGGGCCTGCAAAATTCATAAAAATGCTTGCTTGTCTTTGTGTCTATGGTGTATAATGATGTGATTGTGATGCTGTAATACTGAGTGTTTTATGTGCTGCAGAACAGGAACCTGCTGTAAAACAGCAATTATGCTGAGTCAGGCTTGATTTTTAATAATCTTTTCCTGTTAAATCAATAAATCAAATCAAATCAAAATTCCACACTTTGACACTTTGAAAAGTTTTTTTTTGGCACAAGCGAGCTATAATATCCAAAATTGTTATTTTTATGACCAGAGGAATGCTTGTATTTCTCATATCACAAAAAGAGGAGTTTATTTTTTTTTCTCAGACAATGAGCAAAAGGTTGACTCTTCTCTTTGGCAGCCATGTTATTACAGCAGCCTAGGAAGGACAAACTGAGCACAGGCTTTGTAGCCAACGTTGTTTGTCAGTTTGTGGGTGGATACAGTTGGTTGCAATCATTATAATACACCCCCCACAAACACACACGCACACACACACACACACGCACGCACACACGCACACACACTACCACCACCACCCTCCAAGCACACACAGACACTAATAAGCCCTTATGGATAGTTACAGAGTTCAGGATATGTATAATTAGGTATTTTTTCTTTCCAATCTAAATATAGATGTGAAAGTCTACACATCTACTGAACTTTCAATTTTTGACCAAATTAAACCCAGTTTTGGATGTTATTTAGATTTATTCAAACTCCAGACACGGTTGATTCACTACAGTTAGTCTGAATATCATTAAATTAATTCATTTTGTTTACTGCTGCTTTCACATTGCAGACAAATGCAACCCAAATCCAATCTTTTTGCCACTATGTGACCCATTTCAGATTTTTTTCATGACAGTTGGAAGGTGAAAAATCCGATTTTGGATACATATCTGATGATTTTCAAAGTGACTGCAATCTGAATATTTATGTTACATTTTATCTGACTTTTATGTCAGTGAAGTAGTAATCAGATCGATCCAAGTATTTAGAATATTGATACTAACCTATTGTTTAAAATTTGTGGTTCCACAAGTCTTCAGCAACAGAACAGAAGTTGCTTCTTCTTTTTCTTTCTTTCTTTCTTTCTTTCTTTCTTTCTTTCTTTCTTTCTTT